AAACCTTGTTCTTCAGTTTTTTGGAAGTTCTTGAAAAACCTGTTCTCTGAAGAACAAGTTGTCCCCTATAGGGATCAAAAAACTTAAAGAACAAAGATTTTGTTCTTCAGAAAACTGAAGATTCTTGCTGTACAAATCTTTGGAGAACACATATATGATCTCTATAGGGGACAAATGAAGATCATTTTTTTTGTTTTTTGAAGAACACAGATTTTTAACAATGTACGCTTTCTTGGCGTCGATAATAAGTATATGAATAAGGAAAAGCAGATAGTCTGGGTAAGGGTGATGGCGGTGGTCAGGACGGAAGTGGATATTATCCTACTGTGCTAGTATTGTATTCATAGACGCTGCTGCTTAGCTACTACTGTATTAGCGAATATAATAGAGCAACACTGAACCAATACATACTAGTGCACTAGTATACCTCTATTAGAAGGGGTATAATACGAGAAATGAACATTTCTAAACTTTGGAAATTCGCCCACCCGATTATTTTTCGATTACTAACATGAGTAAAAGTGACGATATTTTTAACAAGTATACTTAACATAAAACTCTGTAAGGAATTAGGTCTTTTTAAAGTAGTCTCAGACGATACATTCACTTGAACGAACAATTTAGAATACAATAACTTCCTTCATTTAACACCGAGATATTATTCTGAAATTTTCATTTTAGCAATCTACCTCTGACAAAATGGCCTCTTCTGCTTCACCATGTCAGTCAATTAAACCGTGTAAAATGTCAGGAATTCTGCCATGTAAAGGCTGTCAGCGGAACTTCTGTCAAGATCACATGATTGAACATCGACAAGAATTAGCAGGTGACTTTCAACGTGTATTAAGTGATCGGGATTTACTCTATCAACAAATATATTGCGAAACTTCTTCCACTGGTCCCCAAGCATTTGATTATGTCACAAAATGGGAAAGAAAAACTATTGAGAAGATAAACATGATTGCTGATCAAGCTCGACGACAGATGCAAGACCTACTTGATGAGACGAGACTCAAAGTAAAAGAGAAATATGATCAATTGTCGGCTGAACTTCGCCAAAGACAAGAATCTAGTCACTTTTTCGAACAGGACATTGACAGATTAAGTAAAACACTTCAGCAAATCAAACTTGATTATGAATATCAGGACACGACGGCAACAGTGACGGCTAAAGCTCGAACTATCGACTTTGACAATATTTTTCACATAACGCTAAACCCGACAACAAACGTCAGTCAAAATCAGTTATTTATAGGCGGAACACTATTAGCTGACAAACAACATCAATCGAAACTCAATGAATTTTATGGAACACCGCATCAACAATGGGAGTTGATTTACAAAGCTACAAGAGATGGGTTTGAAACCAACAATTTTCATTGCAAATGCGATGGCAAAAGCCCAACGATCGTACTTATCCAATCCAAAAACGGCGGTTATCTGTTCGGTGGCTACACAGCTGTCCCATGGAGCTCACAACGCACTGCTATAAGAGACCCAACCGCCTTTATTTTCACTCTGACCAACCCAAACCCAATTCCAATAACAAACTTTACCATTCAACAAGCAGCCATCGACTACGCGGTATTCCATCATCCACAGGCCGGACCAATATTTGGTAGGAACAAATCACTTACAACGTCATCCTTTTACTCACATCTTCTCTTCTCTACAATCACCTAATAGCTTTCATTCTCCTTATTTTAACAACAAAATGATCTCACTTTCATTGCCCATTATAAAAGAACTTTCACTTGATGATAAGACCAATTCACTTACAACGTGATCCTTTTACTCACATATTCTCTTCTCTACAATCACCTAATAGCTTTCATTCTCCTTATTTTAACAACAAAATGATCTCACTTTCATTGCCCATAATAAAAGAACTTTGATTTCGTAAGACCAATTCACTTACAACGTCATCCTTTTACTCACATCCTCTCTTCTCTACAATCACCTAACAATCCTCCATCTGCTTATTTTAACAACAAAATGATCTCGCTTTCATTGCCCATTATAAAAGAACTTTCACTTGATAAGACCAATTCACTTACTACGTGATCCTTTTACTCACATCTTCTCTTCTCTACACTCACCTAACAATCCTCCTTCTGCTGATTTTAACAACAAAATGATCTCACTTTCATTGCCCATAGTAAAAGAACTTTTATTTCTTAAGACCAATTCACTTACAACGTCATCCTTTTACTCACATCTTCTCTTCTCTACGCTCACCTATTAGCCTTCATTCTGCTTATTTCTAACAACAAAATGATCTCACTTTAAAAAGAGCCCATAATAAAAGAACTTTTATGTGCGGATATTTTTGTGGGTTGTGAACTGAAGGGCATGATGGACTCGAGTTCCACTGAATTTCCGATTAGATACATTGATACACTGGGTTACAATAGGAAGACTTTTAGTGGAAGCAACAAGTGTGAAATTAACGAGATTGAAATTTACTGTTTACTGTGAAGGGTTTCGACGTAAAGAGAACGGCTCGTTAAAAGTAACGTAGAGAATGGCCCGTTAACGTTCAGAAACAGAGATGAAAACGGCCAAATCGAATTAAAACTACTGTTAAAGAAATATTACAAATCAAAAATAGTACACTGAAATATGAAAATGGCATTGTAAAGTACGGTTAAGGGTATTTCTAATTCCACAGAACCCAAAAAACGAGAGTGCATACATTTGTTACTTAGAGATTCCAGAAGGGGTATCCCAGAATGGAAATACCCTTTTATGATTCTGTACAATGCGAAAATGTTTTAGAGAGTAGTGAAGTCACATAGCATACTTTCGAAACCCGCCCAAAACTGAGTCGAATAACGTTTAATTAACAAATCACAATACGTTTGTCCTGATGTCAACTATGTTCTGCCTTTGTCTCGAAAATCGTACGCAAAGGGTAATAAAATGACGGAGTAAATGTAATTCTCATCCTATCTGATTCAGTTTTGAATCGGCTTACAAATATTCTATATGACTCGACTAGTCAACACTAGACAGACATCAATGATGCTAAATTCCATCATTCACAGAGCGGAGCAATATTGGGCAGGACCAATTCACTTACAACGTCATCCTTTTACTCACATCTTCTCTTCTCTACACTCACCTAATAGTCTTTCTTCTGCTTATTTTAACAACAAAATGATCTCACTTTCCTTGATCATAGTAAAAGAACTTTCATTTGCTAGTATGCAGTTTCTGGAAATCTTTGTAGATAAAATATCAGCGTAAAATTACTGAAAGCCCGCGTTATCTTGAAGAGATAAAGTTTCGTGAATTCACTTCGAAAAGCATAGAAACTAAAACGTGCAGAAGGTAGCTTTGGGCTGCTATCAGTTTAACGAGAGAAAATTACAGGTTTAAAACGAAATAGGAATTTTCAAAAACTATCGTTTCAACTTTCTGGAAATCTTCATATATCAACAGAAAACCGTAAAAAGGCGCCTTGCTATAGCTGTCTGGTCCTCTCCATGCTACTTATGCGTCCGGTTAATCAGTAAAAAGAATAAATGCAAAGTCGGTCTTCTTTTAAAACATATATTCATTTCTCACCCCAACTGAATGGAAAGTCCGGTGTTTCGGAGGTATATCGTCAAGGGAACACTTTCATAAAATTTGTCTGCTGATAGGAAATTCTTCTGACCTTTAGAAACATAAATGTCTCAAGAACCATGTGGATCAGATGCTTCTAAGATATCGATATGCCTTGGCCGATCTTTTGTTTGGCGGATTTTTGTAAATACCGGTATAAAAGGAAAAAAAATCCGTTGGCATCACCGTGGAACGCTCTGTACCTAAAGGTATAGATGCAAGACAGGGTAAAAGGATAAGTACGGATGAATGGGCATAGGCCAATCTCTCTGAAACGGCTGCATCGATGATGTTTGCTTGCCCGGCTGTAACTCCAGCGGTCGGTTTATTATAAGTTGATAGTTTGAACTGGCAGCAAAGTCTAGTGTCTAATCCATGAATAGCTCACAGCTTTCAAGATACCTAAGTGACGAAGAGTGAAATATTTGATGTAATGCAACGAAAAACAAAAGAAGACGACAATGTCTCTCTATGTATAGACAAAAATTAAAGTGTGCTCAGTGAACCAGAGCTTTGCTTTTGTTCAAGTTCTACATTAAGTACGCCCACAGTGGGGAATTTTCGCTAAGCACGTGAACAGTTGATTTTAAAGTGATATGTAAAGACGTTTTTCATACGTTTCTGCATGTGTTCTTTCTTATCACATCGAAAAACTGACTAAAACCTAGTTTTCCAAAGGTTATCCAAAGATCCGGTCGCTGAAAGCTGTTGGAAAACCACTTCGAAGTTTATAAAGTACAGCATTAGACTTGTCATAGTCCAAAGCCTGTAGAAAAACCGATTTTCATACTTTTCTGTCGCTTAAAGTTATTGTAGAAGAACATCAGCAGAAACTGTAGCGAAAAACATTGGAAAACCGCTGTTTCTAGAAAAACCGATCAAACTTTCGCAAAAAGTGGCCTAAAAATACATTAATAGATGCAGTTTTTCATGCTGATTCGAATCCGTTATTTATTTTAAGAAAACTTGCTTTAGAGCCTAGGAAATCAGGGAAAATTCAATAAAATACTAGAGCTTTTGGGAGACCTATAACTCAGCAGGATAACATTTACGATAAGTTTATATTCGCATCAGCTATAGGAGAATAGCCCCTGAAAGTTTCCGCTCAAGCGGAGCTGTGTTAAAGTGCGCTCGCTGATTTCACCGGTGAAACAGACACGGCTTTCAGAAGTCAGAATTCCACGCAAGAGAGAGCAGGTTCAGGCAGAGAGAGATCATTTTTTTTCAGTCTTATCCGCCTGAAATCCTGTTAGCACAAGAAACTCTACATTACGTTAAAAGAAACGCTGACAAACTGAGTGAACTTGATCAGCCACACAGCCTTTCAGATAAAATATTTTTTCAGTTGTTTCCTTGTGATCAATGTAAAAATGCAAAAGTAGGTCTGAACTTAACGATCGAAAAAGTATACGCAAAATTTCTTCTGAAAGCCGTTTCTGTTTACTTCTATTAAGGGCCCCCCTCCCCTCTAAAAATTTTTTTCCCAGAACACTCAATCTTACTGAAAATTTTATTGAATGTATCTGACCATCGATAGTTCTTAGTAAAAATTTGAGCTCATAATATTGAGTTTTTCGCGAGTTATTGTAACATCAAGGGTCAAAAAGTAGGTGTCCGTGTGTCAAAGATTTTGTTTTCAGTTTTAATGATACGGACCTCGGGATGGTGTCAAAATGTTGAGAAGACCTGCCCCTACAACTTAACAAAGCCGGATTTTTGAAAAAAATAATTAATTTTTTAGACAGTTTTTTGAAAAACCTAGATTAATTTTTTAGAAAACTCGGATTTTTTGTAAACAAATAAATTGAAAACAAAAATCCGGCTTTGTTAGGTTGTAGCGCTGATATTTACCTTCATTTTAAAACCTTCCCGAGCTTTCTAACATTTAAAATGGCGGAGAAATCTTTGACGCACAATCGGGTAAAACAAAAAATAATTGGACGGAAAAACTGCGAGCGGGAATGGGCGATCTAACTATCATTTCAGCCTTCTGCAAATGAATAATTTAATGATTTCTGGTGCTTAGTAGAACTTTAAAGTTCGAAAAGGTTTCTTCCACCTTGAAGGTTTCTTAGAAATCCTCATTTCTATAAGAAGCAATAATTTAAAAATCGGACTCTGTCAAGCCTTGGCTGTAAGTGTAATCTACAATTAAAAAACAAACGCCCGCCAACATATCTTTACGGGGAACATATCTTTCGCGTGGCGAAAGCCATGAAATAGAAATTTTCACCTGGTGAACAACGGATATTACACCACGGCTTGTCCACCTAACGGTCTCCTTCGTTTCAGGAGTTTGCGTGAAATTTTTTTTCCCTATTAGTTTTATGACATACATCATTAAACGCACCTTTTCACGCTGATCACGAATCAGAGGGCGAAAACTGAAAATCTCAATTTTGAAGTGGTTTTTGAAGTTCAAAACCTACTTTAAATTAAAATTGTCAAATTTTCAGATCGGATTCGGAATCAGAATGTATCAAAACCTTCATTCACATGAGAGAGTTTCTTCAGTTCAGTGAAATCCATCTATAAAAATGGACGCCTTTGAAAGCTCAGAGGTCTTTTTCAAATAGAAGTCAAAAATCGGGAAAAGAGTTTGTACCCTTAATTCGAGTGCGGTTCATCAGCATTTCGTCCGGTCAACCGGCCGTATCACGTGGAATTTCTCCCGGTGAAACTTCGCAATGGGGAGTAATCACCGCATATGGAACTACGAAAAAAGATGAAATTCCGTGACGAAAATGGAATTCCGTTACGGACATAGTTTTGCTCTTTTTTCCGATCCAGACATTCTCACACAAAACCAGTTAGATGTTCTGAAAGCCTGAAGAAAATTATCAACGTTCTAAAAGCTTCGAAAAATAACCGTCCATTTTTGGAAATTCTGTTACGGCTTTCATTTTCCCTATAACTTTGATCAAGTGAATGAAATCAGCTCAAAATTTTCTTTGTAGCAGGACCAGATAGGATACACATTTGATACAAATTTCACTTTTATCTATTCCGTGCTTACCGAGATAGAGAGCGCACAAGTTAGAAAAATGAAATTCGGTTACATTTGGACAGGCCGAACAGATAAATAAATGAAAACTGAAAAACTTGGAGTAGGTAAAATTGGCCGCTCAACAGGCACAAAATGATGTTAAAGTATTTAGTTTACATCATAAAGAACTACTAACAAAACGATTGTCTCAAATCAATGAAACACTGAATCAACAAAAAGAAAAGAACAGTTTCAGCCAGAATGATATTCGACGTTGTCTACAGGACCTAGGTAAAATTAAAAATGAACTAACAACCGCAACAGATAATCTTCATATTGAATTGCCAAGTTCGAACGAAATTCTATCAACGATTAAGATTTTTAGACAAGTGTCACAACCGATTATAGTTACTGAAAATTTGAAAAGGGTAGTAACGGAAGAAAAAATGTAATGGTTGCTACAAGCAGAGAAACTTAATCTATAGAAACTGATTCTTGATGTAGGATCTTATAGTAACATTTCATCAGATTTCGTAAGATTCTTGTATGATTTTTATAAGATTTTATAAAATGAATCCGTTTCTATGATTTTCCGTAAGATTTTATAAGATTGTGTAAGATCTTGATCTGATTTTTTGATCTGAGATCATTTTCTTCGAAAAACTTGAAACTTTTTTCTCATTTCAACGTCTCACGTCAGCTGAGCACATACCCAGGTCAAAAAAACAAATCACTGTATAAAATCTTATAGAATTCATACAAGAATCTTACGAAATCGTACAAGAAGCTTATAAGATCTTACAGTAAGATGAGTAGTCAAAGCATTATTGAGTAGTAATGGTTTAATATATAATATAATACGACTGCTCAAGCGATGCCGTAGGAACAAACATAAGAGGAACTACCGCAGTAAAAGATGATAATTA